TGAGAGATGTGTGTTTGGTACTCGTGTTAACTAAGATGCTATAAGAGTGAGGGACGTGTGTTTGGTACTCGTGTTAACTAAGATGCTATAAGAGTGAGAGACGTGTGTTTTATACTCGTGTTAAGTAAGATGCTTTAAGAGTGAGAGATGTCTGTTTAGTACTTGTGTTAACATTCTTCAACAGTATGAAATATAGGTTTGATACATGTATTACCAGTGTTGGTTGAGATACATTATGTTATTCATCTTAACATGCTTTACCAAAATGAGATATGTGTTCAAAAAAATCATTGCAGAACCCAAATTCTTCCATCAGTGCAACACAAGAGAATTGATAGAAATATTGATGAATAGAGAACTGCATGCTTAATAATGAAATGGGTTTTGAACTAAACCCTATTAAAATGTCAGGTTTATGTCTAAACATGTGGTCACAACTCTTTGTATATAGTGACATGAGAATAGTTTTGTTTTGTATGATATTAACTCTTATGGACAGGTTTATATCTGAACATGGAAGACACTGTGGTCATAACTTTCTGTATATAATAACCTGAGAATAGTTTTACTCCTTATATTGAGAATGACAAGCTGTCTAAACTAGTTGAGACGTTATACTAATTCTTTTGTGTATTATTAGGGTAGCATTTTAATATTTAATATTACTTTTATGAATTTACACCAAGTATTTCCCCTTCTAAAGATATAATTCTGCTAATATTTCAGTTATAATAATAAGTTTCATAATATCAAATATTATTAACTACAGGAATTGAAACTGTAAAAATGTTGGATAAATTACACTCTTAATATTTTTGTTTTGTGCTGTATCTTTAATTACTCTGAACTGTACTATTATATTGATATATTTTTATAACTTGTATTGAAACAATGTTTGACTTTAGTGCCTGTAAGTATTAATGTTAAGTTTAATAATTTGGAGCAAATTGCTGTTATAATGATGCCTTTCTAATTTTGTATCAAGATGTCCCAAATGCACCAAAGATAAAAGATGTGGAATGTGATGGACTAATTGCTCTTGTTGAATGGCAGCCAATGGGAGATCGTCGAGCACCCATTCTGAGCTATACAATTCAGTACAATACTAGTTTTACTCCGGACACCTGGGAAGACGCTTTTATCAATATTCCTGCACCCGACACTCGCTTCAAGGTATATTTAAAAACGTATTTACTTTAGTTTAATATCAGTTATATACTACACATATGGGAAAATGTTCTTATCAACATTACTGCACCTGCTAAGTTGTAAGTAGTATCAATGGTTGTTTTACGCTAAGCTGTAAGTACTATCAATGGTTGTTTCACACCAACTTGAAAGTAGTGTCAATGGTTGTTTCACACCAACTTGAAAGTAGTGTCAATGGTTGTTTCACACCAACTTGAAAGTAGTGTCAATGGTTGTTTCACACCAACTTGAAAGTAGTGTCAACGGTTGTTTCACACCAAGTTGAAAGTGGTGTCAACGGTTGTTTCACACCAAGTTGAAAGTGGTGTCAACGGTTGTTTCACACCAAGTTGAAAGTGGTGTCAACGGTTGTTTTACACTAAGCTGTAAGTAGTATCAACGGTTGTTTTACGCTAAGCTGTAAGTATTATCAATGGTTGTTTCACACTAACTTGAAAGTAGTGTCAGTGGTTGTTTCACACCAACTTGAAAGTAGTGTCAGTGGTTGTTTCACACCAACTTGAAAGTAGTGTCAGTGGTTGTTTCACACCAACTTGAAAGTAGTGTCAAAGGTTGTTTCACACCAAGTTGAAAGTAGTGTCAAAGGTTGTTTCACACCAACTTGAAAGTAGTGTCAGTGGTTGTTTCACACCAAGTTGAAAGTAGTGTCAATGGTTGTTTCACACCAAGTTGAAAGTAGTGTCAAAGGTTGTTTCACACCAAGTTGAAAGTAGTGTCAAAGGTTGTTTCACACCAAGCTGTAAGTAGTGTCAAGGTTGTTTCACACCAAGCTGTATGTAGTGTGAACGGTTGTTTCACACCAAGTTGAAAGTAGCGTCAACGGTTGTTTCACACTAAGCTGTAAGTAGCGTCAACGGTTGTTTTACACTAAGCTGTAAGTAGCGTCAACGGTTGTTTTACACTAAGCTGCAAGTAGTATCAACGGTTGTTTTACGCTAAGCTGCAAGTAGTATCAACGGTTGTTT